GGGACTCTCTGAAATTTCGCAGAAAAATCCAGCTTGGGATGGTAAGCAGCTTCACCTCATCTTCCAAATTTTTGTGCCACCTCTTTCCCCGAGTCCTCAGGACTGTATCGACCTGTTAGTAGCACGCAAGAAGTATGACGGCCAACTCCACCCTCACTCGGATGGACATTGTCAACACACAGCCCTGTGTCAAAAACTAATCTGGAGACACGGCAGGTTGCACTGAGCCTGCCTCTAGGATTTAAATGCTACCTCACTTTTCACCACACATACAAAACTCTCCTCTAAAGAAACAGATTACTCCCCGTCTCTGATGACCTTTAATAGCTGATGGCTGGCCCTTACGCCCTCCATTATTTTCCAGGAAAAAAAGGTTTACGCTTTGTGACTAAAGAGGAAGCAGTTTGGTGTCTCTTACAGAAAGCTCAAGATGTTGCAAGATAATTTTGCTTTGCGTGTTTCTATTGCAGCCAAACTACAGCACAGCATAGAGACGATTGACCCAAGTCCTAAAGCGCCAGGAGCAAGACAGAGTTTTAGCACATTTCTCAACCCCTTGTAGCTCATGAAGTTCTTGGAGTCCCACTTCCAAGTGTTGGGCTGCATACAGATGGAGGAGGGAAGTATTCTGTTACCAGGCTTAACCGGGTGCCCAGATTTGAGGACAGATGAAAATAGGGTGAGGAAGCCATGTCCACGCAGAAAGCTTTGTAAAATGTGAATAGGCAACTCCAGAAGTAGAATGAACTTCAAAATGAAACATTCCAGAAAAGAAGGAATAAAATATCTGTGTCATGTGAAGAACTTGCTATGCATGTGTGGAATATAAACTCTCCACACAGGGTCCTGTTATGTAAAATATTTAAATATATATATATATAAAATACTAGAATAAACCTCAAGGTATCCTCTAGTCCATCTCCTGTCTCCAAAGCAGGATTAGGTCTACCTCAGACAACCACGACTAATGTTTTTTCCAACATTGTTTTGAACTCCTACAGTGAAAGTGATTCTATTGTTTGCTATAAGGCTAAACTGTTTACTTAACTGCAAAAAATCTCTTATTAAGTTAATTCATGCTGCTGCAAATTGTATAGCTTTACCTCAGTGAACACAGAGAACAATTAATCGTCATTTGCATAAACACATATTACAAAGCTGTAAAGACTGTTACCAGGAAGACTGTTATATTAACTTTCAAACCCTTTCTTTTCCAGACTAAACTTTTGCAGTCTGTTTCCTTTTTGTTGCTTTTTTTTTTTCTTTTTAGGATTTGCTAATTATTCTAGGCTGATGTCTACATCCTCCCCTAACTATGCACAACACAGATCACCACTGCCATCCATAGCATTTGGAATTTTTCACATCACTCCCATACTGCTGATCCACCTTCGGTTTGAGGGCTGCAAAAACCTCCAGATTGAGAACAGCTGCTTACACAAGCATTCCCAAGCTGGTGTTTGCATTCAATCTGTCCTTCCAAGTGCAGCCTTTTGCACTTACCTTTACTTAACTAGACCTCCTTGATTTCTCTCATTATAAGAATAAAATTATATTGAAAATTGTCTTCCACTTAAACAGTTTCTAAACTGATGTCACCTATAAGTGTTTTAAGTTTATTCTGCTTTTCATGACCCACATTATACTTGTAAACATTGCATGGCACTAGCTCAAAGCTCTGCTCGGAGGACCCTTTAGCTTTGCCAAAGAAACGGTGATTACTATTCCATGAAAGTCGTTCTTCAGTCAGTTGTATATCCATCTTAAAGAAGTTTCGGACGAATCCCATTTAATTACGAACGCTATAATAACATCCAGATACATACTGTCAGATTGCCCCACTCTGCTCCACCAGCTCAGCTGAAAGTTAGACTGGCATTACTAAGATGAAGTTTCCTTGTAGCCTTTAACTACTGTATTAGCTGAGACTATAACCAGGAGAGAAGTTAGATACCAGAAAACAATATTCTTGGAAGTCTAGATTTATTGTTGTCAGCAGGGGGGTGGGGGCAGGTTGTTGTTTGGGTTTTGTTTTTGTTTTTTTTTTTTTTTTAAATGATATCTGCTTGCTTCAATGAAGGATTTTACAAAGTCCCTCTCCTGTTTTTAAAAGCCTGTAATTGCTCATCAGACTGCAGCAGGGGATTTTTATTTAAAAAAAAAAAAATTACACCAGCATTACGAAACCTTGCCTACTGTTGCCTCTAAAGTCTCAGGATTACTGCTTTGAAATATTACCACTGCATATAGTCAGCAGTTCTATCCTTAAGCATAACTTCCATTTTACATCTACGTAATTTTATAAGCTAACTAAAGAACATCTGTTTTCATAATTACAATATTAAAATAACTGCTCATTGAATGCACCCATCTTTGTGCCTTATCAAACCTTTGCATGCTTCCGATGTTGATTTGCAAATAATTTTCAGAAACGTGGGGAGGGAAGACTCAAGTCACTGAATAATCGAAAATTCTGAAAAATTCTCCTACTTAGTGCTTGGGATGGTTCAAAGATGCAAGAAAAGGCAATCAAGATGGTCATGTTATGAAAAAGTGCCCCTGGAGGGAACAGTATTAAACATAGTCCTTAAATATGTTAAAAAACTTATGCCACATATATCAAATAATAATTTAGCTGAAAATAGCCTGTCAGAAAAATGAAAAATAAGCTTTTGTAGCCGTGTTTAATCTTTAGCTTCCTTGAGAAAGATATCAGCAAGTTAGAGGGAAATGGAAAAAGTTCCCTTCAAAGGAAGAACCCAGCAGCACGTAACTGGAAGACCCAGCTTAACCTCCATGCCTAGAAACAGCAGATGAGGATTGGTGCTGTAAAGTTCATCCTTAAGCAACTTCCCAAGTGAAGAAACTTGTAAGAAATGATGACTTTGAAGCTGTAGTCCCAACATCTGCTAGAAAGAACTCTCCCTCTTCATCTGTATCTTTCTTAGCCAGCCAGGGGTTTCCCAAGAAGAGATTCCAAGTACTCCTGTGCACCTCATCTCCAAATTTCTCCCCTATTACACCTATGCTGCTATCCATCCCCTGCAATGTGAGGAGATCAGAAAGCTTCTCTGTCAGCCTGCACATCCACACCCAAAGCAGCAGCTAGAATTGACAAAACTGACAAATGCGGTATTACCAACAGGATCCTAACTGCATTAAGTTAAGCAGAAAACATTGACCAAAAAAGTCTGGTTATGTTTTCTTTAAGAGGTCTCTTTATGTCTCTTGTATCTGCTCACCAAAAACTAGGAGCAGAAATGCATACAGGCAGAATGAGTTTGTGCTGGTAACAGAAAAGTACAAGCATCATTATCATCAGAAAACCCAGTTAAAACCAAACTGTTCGAAATTTACAGAAATGATACCTCCAAAACCTTTATAACTACAGAGGAGTCTCTTTAAACAGATCACATCTATGGCATGTTCTATCCACAGATAGCCCAACAACCTTAGTACCAGAAGCGCAACGGAAGAGTGAATGTTAAACCAGAAAAAAGGGATAGAAACTAAGTGCGTGTATGATAAATTTAACTGTATTATTACCACTATAGGGAGTTTTTTCTGTATAGAAGTATTCTTTTTCTGCAATAATTAGATCTGGACTAATAATGACTTTTGGATTAGACTGTAAAGATTTTGGTTATTCAACTGAGTATCGAATTGTTCAGTTTACTATACAGTGAGGTTTTGGCTTTATTATAAAGTGTTACCTCCTTTCCCATTAACAAGGTTGAGCGCAACACTGGTGCTTAATTATTAGTTTTTACTGCGTCCAATCTGTTTGACATTTAGGCCCATTCCTCCTTACCAATCAATGCACTTAATACAGGCCCCTTTTATATCAAAACACTTATATTTCCACTTAGTGTTTTTTCTTCTAGGTAAGGGCACTTCAGTTCCTTTGGCCTTTGAGAGACTTTCTACCAAATTAATTCACTTGGTTTAGGTCCCTTTTCTATTCAAAATCTTTCAAATTTCTATTCTATATTTCTTCTTGTAGGAGAGAACACCTCAACTCCTTTGGTCTTTCTTGATAGTACAGCTATGATCAACTGGAGAAAATACCAAGGATAATAACTACCCACACTCTTCTTCAATTGCCGTGGTCAGATGGGGGTATTTAAGGCTACAGCCTTTCAGGGCTGAACGACACGAATTCTAGTACTTGTTGTTGTTTACAGAAAATACTTCGGCTTATGATTCTCAGTCTGTGTGCTTTTTCTGCAGTACTGTTGCCTAGCAATCATTTCCCCATCCTGTACCTGTTCTCAGTACTGAGCTTCATGTTTATTTTCACACCCACTTCTTCTACTTCTCCCTAGTTTATAAAGATCATTTTGAATTCCAGTCCTGCCCTTGTACAGCAGAATTAATAAACGTACTTTACATTTCTTCATTTGAATATACAATGATTCCATCTGCAGGAGACAGAGTACAATAAAAGGCTTATCACCAAGTTCCTTTCCCACACCTATGGGATCAAACCATGATAAACATTGCTGAAGTTACACACTACAAAATGGAACAATTAAACTGTGAAAAAGAATTTATTGTACTCATTTTCAACAGTCAGTAACCTTAATTTTATGTTCAGAGATAAAGGATTACAAATGCATCTCATACAGGCAAATACTTTGTGAGCTGTTCTTTTAACAGTCTCAGACAAAACCATCATTGCAGACCAACATGAGTTCCAAGTGATAACTCACATTGTACCAGCCAAATAAAACAAGCAACCATCTTCTCTTTCCACCTCAAACACGGCAACTTTGTCTCCCACAAGAAGCATTCATCAGGTGAATAAAGGCCTCAGGTGCTGTACTGTGAGACAGCTAAGGTATACCAGTCACTACCAGTATCCCAGCATCACCTGTAGTTCTGGTCCCAGACACTTCTTGTTGTATGTTCAAAGACATCGAAAACAAGCACTTTGTGTTACCTCTGACGTTCACATTTTGTCATTAAAATTAACATTACTGCTTCTCCAACTGGATCCTCTAACATCTTCTTTTCCTCTTGGGGAGAGATACTTCTGAAAGGAAATAAAGATATTTTTCTGACAAGCTTTTCAATCTATCTCCGCTTATGGGAATGATTAAAGTAGAATTAATTCTGCCCAGCAAAAGAAATTAATTAGATGAGCTCTTGAGATCCCCTCCCAATCCCTCTCACCATGATTTTAAATATGAAAAAAAAAAATCTTTCTAGACTCTACAGCACACTATCGTTCAAAATATCAATTAAAATTCCATTGATGAACACAACACTGTATTTCAAAATTTACTCAATCTTGAGAGCTTTCTGCTCCTCATGAACACCTTTAAGATTTCATTGTGAATTTGACAAATGGAATATTCACAAAATTAAGCACAAAATACCTGAAGACATTGCTTATGAGTATTTTTAATGCTTCAGAATTTGCTGGCAAATTCTGAGAAATGGAGAATGTTACTGATTTAGAAAGAAACTTTTTGTCCACAAGAACTTGAAGGAAAAGTAAGTAAATAAAGTACAAGATTTAATGCACCATTGTGCCTTCAATTTGAATATTTAAAATTGACAGAATTCACATTGCCTACAACTAAGGTCATCAGAGAATGTAATCTCATTTCAGTACTACAAGATGCTCTTCTGCTTTTAAAAAGAGCAAATATAAGTGTGCTACCTCACTACAAATATATTTTAACAGTTATTATGCTCCCTTGTATGAAATATACTTCCATTATATACAAATTTGGATAGTTAACTCCAAAAGATATACATCTCACACTCATCTATGTCATTAAAGCTTTCCAGAAGTTGTACTTAACCCTTTGCTTCCCCTTGAAGCCACCTAATTAAATCCTACTCTTTCAGGTTAAGAACCAGTACCTCTGGTCTATCAAGTCCGCCTTCCACTATGTAAGCAAGACCCATCAGACTAGCTAGAACTGTCAGTGGAAATCACACCTTTAGCTGGCCAGCTCCTCTCCCAGAACACTACCCATGTCCGAGACACAGCAGCAAAGCAGTACGCTGGGCTCTTCCCAGAGCACAGCTAGATAAGGTACCTCAGGATAAAGAGGATGCAACTTTCTTTGTACAGTGTCTTTTCCATGGTGCTTATGTTCTCCTCCTGCAATAATGAGGACGGACCCTGATGCTTCTGAGTTACAGAGCAGTTCAAGATCATCTAACATCTCAATTTGTACTATATGCACCTGATACTTCTGTAGAGCAGCTCCATCAGCTTTGAGAAACCTGCTTCACCATTGCTTCCAAATAAAAATGACACTATTTCCAGTAACCTGAGTGATAGCAAAGTGACCCACTCTTCTGCTGTGGTTCCCACAATCCTACCCCAACTATGTCAGACAACTTCTAATACAGCAGAGGCGGCTATTACTGCACACATATACAGGAATTTAATCCTTGTGCATCGCCCAGCTGAAACTAAGGCTAGAGGGGAAACTTCTATGTCCCCTTACTGCCACAAAGGTGAAGGCAGCAAGGGCCATTCTGACCTTGAGTGCAGGTTACCTAAGTACCCAGAGCTACTAGAATAGGTATCTTCTGTAAGTGGGGAATGACCAAAAAACCCTACTTTTCCCTACGCATTGGAACTCTTCAAGCCAGATTTGTATTATAGAAGAGTAAATCTCCTTTTAACTGGACCAGTTTTAACTCTGAACACACAATGATGAAATCTATGTAGGAAAACATGACTCACAGGACTTTTGCCACCACGTGTGTGCTCGTAACAAAGTCTCAAATCAAAGCTGCAATTTTCATGCAACAATTTACAGGCTGAAAACTAATCTAGCTTTTGCAAGGCAGCAACACATGGTTCAAAATATCAGTTTTAGTTTCAGAAAAATACAGCACATAGCAAAGGGCTATTAAAAACCAAGTCACTGGTTTGTTAGAATTTCAATCATTGTACCTTCTTCATCCGAGTTCTCTTCTTCTGTGATTACAGGCATCCCAATGTGGCGAGTAACAGTTTCCTTTGCCGCTTGCATTTCACCTGCAGACAGATTTTTAGGAAAAAATGTTAGCTTTTTAATTTTGCTTCTACATCTCAAGTCCAGCAGTTAAAAGATTGTTCACTTGCTACTCTCCTGACTTTCTAGTCAAAGCTTGTAAAGAAACACCTACGTTTCACAGTACCTTCATACAGCTCACTAAAGAAACCTCCAATAAGAAGTAATTAACAGTTTAAGGCATATTAATCACTAACTTAGTCCAGAGATAATTCAAAATGCCCTTATTCTTCTTCAACACTTCATCTACTGTTTTAAAGTAAAGCAAAGGCAACATTGCCTCATGGTCACCTCTGAAGACGGATGAATTTTCTCAGTAACTTTTTTTTCTAGCAGAAGCTAAGCAAGTAAGAAAACAGAGTTTAGAACTTTGAAATTAAATCCTGTCTTCAAAATACAGTTCATTCAAAACTATTTTGCTGTTCAATTTCATTTAGCCTTTAATAAATAGTAAGTAAATGAAAAACTGAAACGGCAGAGTAACTTCCATCAATTTAAAAGTTGGATATCAGAAAGATAATTTCCTTAAGTAATTTCCCACATTTTCAGAACTGTGAGACAAAGAGATCTAAAGAAAGTTTTGGAAGACAAAAAAAAAAGCATAAGCAGGGACATGCAAATACCTAGAAAGTAAAACTGCACAAATCCAGATGACATAAATGCTATGACAGTAAAAGAACTAAATCAATCACTGGTCAGTTCAGATATGGCAAAGATCAGCAACACTAGATAGGATCTCTCCAACAGAGACCTGAAACAGATAGCTGATCTCCCTCTTCTTCCTCAACTCCTCTTTTCATCTAGCAAAGTACCCTCACACCAGGTCTTACACTCATCTCACGCCAAAATGAGTCAGTCCCCAAGTTCTCAAACTTGATCTCTTTCAGAGCATATTAACATAAATGATGACACCATGCAACAAGAATCCACATAAATGGCTAATCCTTTAAGTTGTTGGTCTCAGCATCATACTTTCAACAAACTTCACAAATGAAAGAAATGAAAAAGATACTAACTTAGCAGCTTTGGATCAGGTAAGTCAATTTTTTTTGAAAAAACTTCCAGTCTGAGGTAGAAAGAAGTTCCTAGTCCAATTTTCTTACTTTTAAAAACATTCACCATATCCTCACTTACTCCGTTATATTCTATTTGTACTTATTCTTTCTATAGGCATTTTCACTCCATAGACAGCCATTCTTGTCACCCACAAAATTCTATCCTCTCCACAGCATTCAAGGGCAGATTATAGACATCTGCATTTAATATTCCACAACATCCCTTGTTAAAAGTTTGAAGTCTTTTTCTGAGTACATTAAGCAAGGGTCTTCACTAAGCGCATACAGGGACATCCCAATGCTTCTTATACCAGTATAGATAAACCAGAACGATATCAAGTACAAGCAGTTGAAAGTACTTCCCTCCAGTGTGCATTTCAAAGTAAGAAAAAAAAGGTCCCGAAGACTGGACATAAGTACTCTGTACCTGTTTTAAAAAAGTTTGCTCCTTAAAATTGTGTTTTATTACTAGCTAAAATTATAATGCCTAGGAGAAATAAAATAGAATTACAGAATAGAACCACAAAAATCAAGTCACAGGTGTATAAAAACCCCTCCTGTCAAGAAGGGAAAAGTTAAGGCTAGCTATAAACTAAACATATCTAGAACTGTTACAATGTAACAATTGCAATATTGAGAAAACAATTAAGGAAACAATTTGAAGAGCATTTTGAAACTACATCTGTTGTTGACAAAAGGTTTCTATTCACATGGAAGTATTAAAAATTTCAAGAACAAAAGAATAAAATAATTAACAAGTATCAGATGGAAGGAGAATGACTAATGTGATAGTGCAGGTACTAGTCTTACAAAGAATCACCATCATTAAGACATCAGTATCATTTTCTCTTCAGAAATGTTAGAGGATATTCCTTCAAGAGCTCAGAAACAGAATAGAAACAGGCAAGATTTAGTTTGGATTTTATTAAGATAGTATGAAGTATCAGGATTATCAGATAGGCTGATTTTCATCAAAAACATAGCTTCAAAACTAGAAGCTATCTGTCAGAAGAAGAAACAGTTAGACACATATCTTAACCTTCAGTATGTTTGTTATATGGCAATAGGAAAAAATAAGATGTTGCCACACAGGTTATACTTTTCCAAGGTCATGCCTTTCCAAAGAAAAATGAGCAGGACTATGTATAAGACTTCAGATTAACAATAAACTGCACACACTCACTTTGTCTTTCTACCTGACCAGACTGTGGAAAACAGACAAGAAGGTTCAATTATGATACTGGTACGACAAAACATTTCTTTAATCTTCTACCTCCACTGATCAACAGTAAAATTTAACCCAGCTGCCTCAGCTAGCAAAGCAACGGATAAACTTTTACAGTCTCTCCAGGTTCACGAATGCAATGGAGAAATACCTCTGATTTCCAAAGAATCTCTTCTCCTTGCTGGCTGTGGTCTCCTACTGGCTTTTTTACTTCGGCTTGGAGATTTCCCATAATTTGATCCTGATTCAGAAGATTCTAATTTTACTTGACGATGTCTTCTGGATTTGGAAGCCTAGAACCCAAACATAGATATGAATGATACAAAAAAGCTAAATTTCTACAGCTAGATATTACTGCACGTCGCCCATTACTTAGCAAATCAGCAAGGACCAAAGCATCAACTTCCATGTCAGGGTGGGGAAGGGATAGAAAGGGAGGGAGGGAGGGATGGAGGATTGCCATTAGTTACTGTTCTCCAGTTTTAACAGGACAACACCCTTCTAAGATTTAATGGGTGTATCACTTAAAATTCAGGTAATGAAACATTCATTTATTTTCAAACCATTCTCTGTTGGTATCAACCTACACTATGTTGCACACTGCTGTGTGCAAGTAAAAAGAACACTTCTGAAAATTGCTGTACCATAAAGCCTCCTTACTGTCATATTTTGTTTAGGTGCCTAGAAAACATTATCACTGCATATTGACAAGCCTGGATTGTTATACATTCCAGAGCTGTTTCATTTAATAATACATTTTTCAATTAAGAGATTTTAATAAACAAGGGAAGTTGTGATGTTTCTCATAGACCTGCTATAAAAAAGATAAATCAACAATATTTTTAAAGTAGCAGTTACTGAAACAATGTTTCCAAGAACTTCCAACCAACTTTAAACCCGTAAGTTCCATTTTTGCAAGCATATTCAGAAACTCCAATATCTAAACTTCAAGGAATTTGAGCAATTAAACTTGCAAGTATTTTTACTCCATCTGCTTAAAATTCCATCTACTTAAATGGAGCGTAGACATTAAAAGACACCTTGTAAATTAAAATCCCCTAAGCATAGACCGTATCTACACTGTTTCTATAAATCTAACAAGAATAATAAAAGCTTTGGATTTCCCCAATGTGTTAGGAAAACTAGAACGTTTAAAGGTTGAATGACAAAGTGCAATGTCAATTCATTCCTTTCTAACCCAGCATTTACATTAATCTGGTACTTAAAACTGTCTTTAAAAATAAATACATCCCTATTATCAAATTTTATACCTACTTCAACAACTGCAGAGTAAGATCTGTATTTGATTCTAGCCAATGCATTTGCTCTTTCAGAGCCCTGCAAAGAAACAAGATATCAGTCAGAAAAAGTTTTCATATTCTATTATAGCAGTATTGAAATGAAATATCACATCAGACAATCATTTGAGCAGTATCTCACTATGGCTGTAATTCTGTAATTAGTTCTATATAATGAGAATGTCGCCAAACTGTTACTTAAAGAAAAAAAGTTCAAATTTCATTAAAAAAGCAGAGCATAATTTTGGTTGCCTTCACTGTTACAAAGCCCAGGAGGACAAAATAAAATTTGAAACTTCACATCTTACTCAAATTCAAAGTTGAAATAAGCACATAAGTACAACATGAGATAATTTTGTAGCATAAAAAATGAATACTGCGTTTAGTTGAAACTCCAGGAGGAACCATAAAGGAGTTTGGCCATGAAAATACAGCTCTTTCCCATCTTTACCCAAAAGAGATTTTTTGTTTTGGGCATCTAAGAGCTATCACACCAGTGAATGCTCACAGCTTAACAGAAAACAATGTGATTTAAAAACAAAACCAATCAAATAAGAAAAACCAACCAGACCCACTAGCTATTCCTGGAACTTACTTTGACACTATCGGGCCTTGCTATACACTGCTTAGCCTGTGATCTGAAGTCAAAAAACTAACAGATTTGCCCTGTGCAATGTAGCAAAGGGGTTCATTTTTCTTACCTCTGATTCTAGCAAAGTCTCTTCCTCCTTTTCATTAGATATTTCATCAGTTTCTTTAGCATTTAGAAATAATTTCTGGGGAAAAAAAAAAAATTTGTTTTTTAAATGTCTGTCGTATACAAGACAGCTAAAATCCCAGAATTGTGAAAAACAAAACAAATATTTACACACATGCCCATTTTCTTCAATCTTACACTATGGTCTTTCCTTGATCGAAGAGTAAGTGTTACAGAGGTATTTCACATGGTCATTCTAATACTGCCCATAAGTCACGTCTTCCAGGGCTTACTTCTCAGCACTCATTTACGTTAGAGGCAGTACCACATAAAAGTCCATGTCCTTCCCCCATACCATAACTCTGCCTAGGGTTTTACTCATTCCATGTATTCAGTGTTACAGTTCCTTCTACTTAAGCCCGAGATTTACAAAGTATGCACAGAGGTAATTACACTATGAAAGACAGTTCTTAACATATTCACACACACTGTTAAGTTGTCACAGCATAATGGTTGATATTACCTACCATTCTGTTCTGCTGCCATTCCTGATGTTCCAAGGTTATGTCTTTAAGAGTAACTACAAATTCATCTTTTATCAAGCTCAGGGCCTTGTCTGGCTGGGATTTGTCAGCTGAAATGACGCACTTCATTTTCTGATAGTGGTCATGAATGTTCATCAGTTCCTAAAGTGAAAAAGAAACTCTTTTCGGGAAAAAAAAAAAAAAATATTCTAGTAGTAAAGAAATATTAGTCCTCAATGAACAAAACCAGGGTTAGAGAATCATAGAATCATTTAGGTTGGAAAGGACCTTTAAGATCATCAAATCCAACTGTAAACCTAGCACAGCCAAGTCCACCACTAAACCATGTCCCTAAGCACCACATCTACAGGTCTTTTAAATACCTCCAGGGATGGTGACACAACAACTTCCCTGGGCAGCCTGTTCTGGTGCTTGACAACCCTTTCTGTGAAGAAATTCTTCCTAATATCTAGTCTACACCTCCCCTGGTGCAACTTGAGGCCATTTCCTCTCATCCTATCACTGGTTAATTGGGAGAAGAAACCGACCCCCACCTCGCTACACCCTCCTTTCAGGTAGCTGTAGAGAGCAATAAGGTCTCCCCTCAGCCTCCTTTTCTGCAGACTAAACACCCCCAGATCCCTCAGCTGCTCCCCATCAGACTTGTGCTCTAGGCCCTTCACCAGCTTTGTTGCTCTTCTCTGGACATGCTCCAGCACCTCAAGGTCTTTCTTTTCGTGAAGGGCCCAAAACTGAACACAGTATTTGAGATGTGGCCTCACCAGTGCTGAGTACAGGGCAAAAACCATTCTAAGGATACCACTGAACTAGGAGGAGTGTTAGATTCCGTTTAGATCAGTTCAGTTTTAGGGAGCCTAGCAATACTGCTACCTAGCACTCTCCCATGAGCCCACCAAATAAGCAAAAGAATAAAGAGTATCTTGCATTATTTAAACTAAGAAGGAAGTCTCAGTGATACTAGGATCAGTGTTCATAGAAGTTTCTATTCTGTTACAGTGCTCTCCTTTCATCTCTTTGGAGGAAGCATTTTACTTTCTCCTTTTGAAGAAGATCTTCTCACCCTGACATTTCACTACTGAGTTTTGTACCACTGTAGTCAATCTTACTGATGATACGTATTTGCTAGCAGCAACTGGAAAAATCTGTAAACAAAGATTGATTACTGACTCATAATGAGCAATGTAAGACCCTACACCTGGCTTGAATTACTCCATTTTTTTATAAAATGTATTATATATTAAACAAAACTAAGTTTTAAAAGGAGAAATAAAGGTTAGAGAAGGCTATAAACTTGCAGATAAGCAAATTCATATTACCACAAGTATCAAGCCTCCAACTGCAACCTGTAGACATATCAAAACAAACATGCTTCCTCCTGCCCACCATTTTCCATTTTTCTCTGCCTAAGTGACAATTAATCATTTATACGCTTCCCCTTTTATATCTTAACTGAGGCAAAATCACAAAACATTAGAATCTATTTCAGCATTGAGAAAAGTACCACAATTCTTTCAAGATAAATGCCATATTTGTGAGCGTTCAGTAAAATTACTGGCCATCATCCTAGTCTGCATTCCCTAAGACAACTTACAAAGGACAAGACTGTGCTAATTAGAGAAGTTACAGCTCTTGGACAACAGAAGAAGAAAAAAACCAAACCAAAACAAACCCCAGTGATTAATCTGTAGTTTAGAAGTTACTGTACCTCCAATACATCATTAGTGATGAGGCTGTTTACTCTGTTACTTGGGTCTTTAAATTCTTCTTTAAATTCATTTTCCTGAATCCTCTTCTTAGTTCTGTAGTTTAGCTAAAGTAAGAGACAATGTTTCATAACCTAAAAGCAAACTTAAAATGGCACCTCCTCTTGAGAATTCTTACTGCATATCCAACAATCAAGAGATACTGAAAGGCATAAAGCAATCTCATGAACAATAGCACGCAGCTTTACTGTCAAGTGCTCAGAGTCAGCACTTTTCAAAAATTATTCACTAGTCAAGAATTTAATCCAGCATCCAGGCTCACTTCCACAAATGATAAGACATCTCAAATCTAATAAGAATATTAGATACTGAAAAAATATTTTCACGTGAGAAGCATGTTGCATTCAAACACACTCTAGGCTTTACATCACATCCCTAGCTACATAAGCAAGATGTATTACATTTCAACAGAGCCTCAAAGCTAAACTGAATACGAGCGCTGTTGAACTGTTAGCCATTGAAAGCTGAAGGTATTTTATTAAAAAGGGTAAGTCATTAATGTAATAACTCACTAGCTTTGGCATTGCTGTGAAATGGAATGCTCTGGCAAGTCGCAGTGTCCTAAAGATGTATGCTGCATCATAATGCTGGGAGTCTATCAGATCCTGTTGAAATCTCTGGATTTCAGGCCAATCCTTGAGCGCGATTCTGATCTGCAACAGAACAGTTACATATTGTTCTATCAACCTGCATATTTCAACAAATAAAATTTAATTCCGCCAACTACTGTGATCATGTTATACTATACGCAATACTTGGATGTCTAGGGTGTAGCAAGTCACGTGATCACAGAACTACAGAAAGGATCCTACTATAACATTTGTTATTACTATCAAAATTTTATGTGGATAAGCACATTATACTGTTGTGTTAAATATTCTCACTGCAGCCTTCTTTGACAGTGACATGGTACACAAGTCCTTTTTGACATTTGAAAAAGGTAATTCTTCACATTCTTAAGTGTCTGAAAAACAACATGCACCGAGGGGACTCCCACTCACTAGACGATTAGGTTTGCTGCCAATGAAATGCCCATAGAACTCTCCCTCCCTCATTTCTTGCTTTTGCTCCTCTCACATCTACCCTGCCCACTTCATTTTCTCTCTACTTAACTTAGCTTCTTTGATAATTCCTGTACTCTCTAACAGTTGCTATACAGCAGTGGTTTTAAAATTGCCTAAATTCATCTCCATAAAAGGTATTGACTTCACTGAACTCAGGATATGAGGCATAATGGCATCATTGTAGCCTACTTCAACTTCAGTTTCTTATTTAAAGAATTTGGACTCAATTGTGCATATGCACGCAACTTACATCACACAGTTTACAAGTAAACCACTTCCCCTTGCACTGAGTTTCCAACTCCTTTATATACTGGTCTCCTGTCCTAAAAGCAGCAAGGAGGCATGTCATTCAGGCATTCACCCTTCATTCTGTTGAAATTCTAAGGAACAACTGGGGCTGTAATGGAGTTCATCCTACAGCTGATGAGCACATTCTCTGTTCCCATTTTGAAAGTCAGTTGTCTTCATTTCTGAACAGAGAAGAGCTTTTCATCTAGCAAACAAGATTTCTGAGACCACAGCTATAATTTAGCAGGTAGAAGTAATATTTTAGTCACCACCATGTAAGTTCTCAAACCCAAAGGTGTTTGAAAGGCTATGTTTTCCAAAGGGACCATCTGGTTCTAAATATTTTTATTTTAAGAAAGTGAGAGTAAATGCTGTACCCATTTACGATAGCAAAGTAGACAGAAGTATACCATATATCTTATGTCTAGTATCTCCTGAGAATAAAACCTCAAGAAAAGTTACCTTTTGTTTTGGCTGACAAAGCTGTGTACTATAGAGCCCATACAGAAGGTACAGCGCACCAACTCGAATCTGGAAAGCATACGGGGGCAAGAAGTACTGCTGTGCCAGTTCTAAAGTCTTCTTTGTGAGCTTATTCCTCTCCAAAGCTCTTATTCTACCACTAAAGCAAACAAAAAGGAAGCATGTTAAAGTAAGTAGATACAAAAGTGCAGGCTTTAGAAAATCCATAATGCAGAACAAGCTTTAGGTATTTTAAAACGTATTATCATAGGGCCCAAGTTCTGGGAAGTCTTCAAAGACAGCCAGATCTTAAGCTTTTGCACAGTACTGCATGAAATTCTCTGTATTAAATTAGATTTAAAGCAAAAAATACAATGTCCTACAATCATATTTTTTAATCTCAGGAGGATTGCATCAAGCTCCCCGAGGTGTCAGTGTTCAAATCACGTGCATTACTAATGCATAAAATAAACTGAACTAATAACTCTTTTTCAGTATTACACAGGGAGCGATGCTTCACTGCCATTTACCTACAGACCAGCCAGGCAAACCTCTCCCAGAAATTATGCCTGAAGGGAAAGACGGCTCACCAACACCCCCCTTGCCACCACGGGGCAAACTCAGCAGCGGGGAGCTGCGG